AGCAGCATCAAAGAGAATAAAATATTAGCCCATAAAACCACTCCAAAGATATTTGCTAGAAAATGCAGGAAACTTTTTTTAATGTAAGTATGACACTCCCTCCAGGCAAAGCCAGCAGTAATTAGTTGCCACACTATATCTCAGGCTGATGGGTAGATGTAACAAGGCATGCTTCACTTCCATTTGTCCTAAATACTGAATAGTACTCATTTAGCTAGCTATCCCCTAATAATTCTGTATTAGTCAGACTATTTACAGTTGTCTCTGGTATGTGTGGCACTGCCTTTTACTGCATTAACCTTTTATATGTATATAACTCCAGTTACTTGACCTGGGCTGATTGATGTCTTTAATAAATCCTGCTGATGAAAGGAAAGAGCCTGCACTAGTCAACACACTGTTCATTACAGTATTATAGCCTTCCAACTTGCTCTGGAAGAAAAAGTTCTCTCACAGTGGGGAGGAAGGGGAAAAAATGCTTAGCTCCTGAGACTCAAAGCTTTTCAAAAAATCCTGCAGAAGAATAAAAGGGGAATGAGCAATTTGCCACCATCCCACTTGTACTGTGAATTTTGCTGAACCATTTTCTGTTGCCCCAGCATGCAGTGGTTGCAGGTTACTATGGTAAGGCAATGTATTATCATGCAGATTATGCAGACTTATTGCAAGGGACTGCCCAGCAACAGAGCAAATGTTTCACTCATTGATTTCAGCATTTAAAAGGAAACAAAACAGCTGCATGAATGTGCAGCTGCATTGGCTCACACCAAACCCACCAGCAATGCTGAGCGCTTGGAAGCCCAATCTTCCTCTCTGTGAATTTAGTGGGAATTGTGCTATTTACTTCAATGGAAGTGGGAGCAGGTCCTTGAATCCAGGAAACACGTGCAATGTTTTTTAACTACACTGCTTGCTGTAACAGTGGCATTAACAGTGAAAAAACTGACTAATCAGATGCCCTCCATCTCAAAGTACTGCTAGGAGGAGCCAAATCACAGATCTGCTCAAGGATATTCACAGCTCTAATAATCATCAAAAAGATTTGCAGATGGGCATATTTATTCCTTTTTTATTAGCTATGAAGAACAAGACTAAGTCATTCTTTCCTTCTCCCTAGAGAATGAACAAGATAGGTTTTATATACATTTTGTAATTTAGGACTAATTCACATACAGTGAGATTTGAAGCTGAAGACTGCAAGTAGCTAGAAACTGTGACTGAGAACACATTCGCCAACTTCTGTATTTTCCATAGAAACCAGAGGAGCAGAATGTTGTTTCTAAACATCATTAATCTGCTTCTGCCCTCTCTGATTGTTACAGTCATAAATGTGCTGAGAGGTAGTGTTTTGTTTTTTGCTTTCCAGGCCCAACGTTTAATATTTTCAGCACTATAGTGGCAGCAATGATTTATCACTGAGATAATCTTCATTTGTGTTTCCTTGAAATAAATTATGTGATACAAAGTCATCCATATTTTATGGGAGGACTTAAAAATAAAGTTCTGGGCAATTGTAGTTTTGCAAAGATTAAATGTGGTTCTCATGAGCTGAGCAATTGCTCCCTGTTATTTATCTTTTATAGGAAGGCATCACAAAATAAACAATCGCATACCACAAAATCCTTCAGGATAATAATATATACTTAGTATTCAAACAGCACTTTAAATCCTTAGAGCATCCTGTGAACATTAACTAGCCGGAGGCTTCCTTTCCTTCCAGCCCCTTATGCAGAGCACTAATCTCTCCCCATTTGTTCCCACATCCTCTCTCTAAATGACTACAGGAATTATGCATGTGTATTTATTCCTGGGGATGTAGGACCTACCATTCCAGGTCGGACTGTTAGCAGCTGCAACCTGATGTCTTGAAATTTGGCATAGGCGGTAATAATGAGAAATTATGTTCCAAGACTCAGATGTACAGCTGCATGTAATTACGGGGTTAGCGTACAGCCGTTTACATAATTAACTGATAAGCCTGGGTTTATCGGTTAATCTTAACGATTCCATGCACCACCTCCCCCCCGCCTCCCGCTATCTCTGTATCAGAGGCAAGGGGATGTGTGGGAGCTGGTACCTGGTACTCATGGGCTTGTGTGTGCTGGCTCCGCGAGCCACCTGCCCCACAGAGACAGCAGCACGGGGGAGGGAGGTACACATGGGGAGTGGTCTTTAAATCCAGTTCTTCTTCAAGTGGTTGCTCATGTCCATTCGAATTAGGTGTGCGCACCACGTGCACCGCATCTTCCAGAGCGTTTTCCCTAGCGATACCCGTAGCGCTGGTAGGGCGCCCCCTGGAGTGGCGCCACCATGGTGGGGCATAAGTACCCCTGCTGGAGCTCCCCCACCTCAGTTCCTTCTTACCGCCCGTGACAGTTGTTGGAGTGTGTCTCTCTCTTAGTTTAATTAATGGTTCCCGTTTCTCTCTTAGCATTGTAAATAGTTCTATTAGTTAGGTAGTTAGTGTTTCCTTTGTCCTTTGTTCCTCCATCTGCGCGAAGTTAATGCCCAAAGGAGACTCTCACAATAGTTGTCTGAAGTGTCTGGGTGAGGGCCACTTTACAGATGCCTGTAAGATCTGCAAGTTGTTTAAACCGTGCACTAAGAGGGAGAGGGAGAGAGACTCTTGTTTAAAGCTTCTCCTCATGGAGGCAGCTTTACAGCCAGCACCGACTGGACACTCTGCGGTGCGCAGTGCACCATCTCGAGAACGGGCATCGGTACCAAGGGCTGAGCACAGTTCTCACTCCCCGGCACCAAAGAGATCAAGAACGTCCCGTGGTAGGTCTCTGAGCCGGTAGTCCAAGTCGGGCCTACACCGCAGGTTTCGGCACCATTACAGGCACCGGCACCAACCGCGTGGGCCATGCCAGTGCCGCCATCACTAGTAACATCAGTCTCTTCGAGGTTTGTCTCGCAACCGATACCGACTTCGACAGCACAGCCATGCACCGTGCCGGCACCACAACCAGCACTGGGACCTGTCTTCCCGGCACCGGCTCCACTCCCAGCACCGGGACCTGTCCTACCGGTGCCGCAACCGGCTCTCCTGGCAGCACCAGGACTTGTCTTCCCGCACGCCCTCATTGCACACACGTGGGCAAACCCGAGTCTATGGCCAGGTTTGCCCCCCCTTGGTGGCAAGGCATTTGTCATCTGCACCTCCCTGGCATGAATCTGACTACTCGTCGGATACTGATGCGGCCTCATTCAGGTCGGAGTCCTCGGGAGCTTCCTCGAGTCATAGATCCTGTTCCCAGCACCGGCATGATCGTTTGCATGTGCATCAGACTTGGCCACCTCAACCACAATGGCCCTTCTGGACACCATGGGCTTACCACCAGTGGCAGGGGCCTGTGCCGTCCTCTGTGGTGTCCGGTGTCTCGGGGCACCAAGCGCAACTGTAGGCATCGCTGTCACAACCCCTTCCTTCCCCCCAGAGGTCGGTTAGTACAGATGCTGCTGCTGGGCCACAAGCCTCGGTGCCGGAGCTGCTTCCGCAAAGGGTGCTGCCTGCCCAGCCGGCTCCTCAACCGGGCCCTGCGCTAGATCTGGTACCGATCCAGAAGTCATTATCATCTTCATCTCCTGATGAAGCCTGGGTGAATCCCGCACCGGCATTGCCTACTATGGATGCTCGAGTGCATCAGGATCTACTTAGGCGTCTGGCCTCCAATCTGGGTGTCACAGTGGAGCCAGTAATGGAGGACACGGACCCCATGATTGATATCCTCTCTGACGATGCCCCCCGCCCGCTTGGCTTTGCCACTTAATAAAACCGTGGCCAAGATTACTAATACCCTATGGCAGACACCGGCGACCTTGGCTCCTACCTTAAAGGGAGTCGAGAGGCGCTATTATGTTCCCCAGTCAGGGCACGAACACTTGTACTCCCAACCTGTTCCGGGGTCCTTGGTCGTTCAGGCTGCGGCTCAAAAGGAGAGGCTTCCCCAGCTGGGGCCATCCCTGAAGGCTAGGGAGCCCAAACGCCTTGACCTGATGGGCCGTAAGGTGTATGCTACTGGGGGGTGCAACTCTGCATTGCTAACCAGCAAGCGATGCTGAGTCGATATGCTTATAATACATGGCAGGCGGTGGATAAGTTTAAGGATAAGCTCCCTGCTGAGGCCCATCAAGAGTTTGCAGCAATGACCTCAAAGGGCAGAACCATCACCTGCACGGCCCTTCGGGCTTCCCTGGATGCTGTTGACTCTGCAGCCCGCACCATGGCGTCGGGTGTAGTTGTGCGCCATGGTGCATGGCTGCAAGTGTCTGGAATACCCCCGGACGTCCAAACCACAATCCCGGACCTGCCTTTTGACGGGAAAGCGGCCCTTCAGGCTTCCCTGGACACTGTTGACTCTGCTGCCTGCACCATGGCGTCAGGTGTAGTTATGCGCCTTGGTGCCTGGCTGCAGGTGTCTGGAATATCTCCGCATGTCCAAACCACGATCCAGGACCTGTCTTTTGATGGCAAAGCGTTGTTTTCGGAGCACACGGACTCCAGGCTCCATATGCTTAAGGACACGAGATCTACTCTCCGGTTCTTGGGGATTCACACGCCGGTCCCTCAGCGTCATCAGCTGCCCTACAGACAGCAGGGGAGAACGCAGTCCCAGGTCCCCCGTGAGGATTACTGGAGTCCTCATGCCCCCAGTGGGAGTGCGGGGGCGGCTGCGGGCCCCTCGTCCGCAAGGTGTTGTCAACGTTGCCCAAGAGGGGACAACCCCTGTGGGGTTGGTCAAGGCTCCTCCCAGCAGCCCAAGCACCATTTTTGATGGGCTGCTAGAGAGTCGCGCACCAGCCTCCCACCCTTTGTGCACCAGTTTCCCCCCTTGGCCCCCTGTTTGGGGCCAGGTTATCCCATTTTGCCCGTGCCTGGGCAGGAATCACCACCGACGCCTAGGTTCTCAGAATACTCAGAGATGGCTATACTATCCCTTTCCTGGGCTCACTCCCTTCCAACCCACCCGCCCTGTCCCTTTTCAGGGACACCTCTCACAAAGGCATCCTCCGTCAGGAGGTGTTAGCGCTCCTTGAAAAGGGAGCCGTGGAGAGGGTCCCTTCACATCTGAAGGGCAAGGGGTTTTACTCCCGGTATTTCGTTGTCCCAAAACCCAAGGGTGGGGTTCATCCCATCTTAGATCTCAGGGACCTCAAGAAGACGGTGGTGAAATCCAAGTTTAGAATGGTAACCCTGGCCTCTGTTATCCCGGTTTTGAAGTTAGGAGACTGGTACGCAACTCTCGATCTCAAGGATGCTTACTTCCATGTGGCAATAAGACCCAGCCACAGGAGGTTTCTCCTTTTTATTGTTTCCCGATGCCACTTTCAATTTACAGTGCTCCCATTCGGCCTTTCAACAGCACCAAAGGTTTTTACAAAATGCATGGTGGTCGTAGTGGCGTTCCTCCACTAAAAAGGGGTACACGTCTTTCTGTACAAAGATGACTGGCTGATTTGTGGTCTTTCCTACAACCAAGTGAAGGCCCATGTTTCCCTCACAAGGGCCCTCTTCGTAAGGCTAGGACTCATGCTAAATGAGGAAAAGTCATCGTTGATTCCCTTTCAGCACCTCAAATTCATAGGTGCCCTCCTGGATGCCAGGCTGGTGAGAGCACTTCTCCCCAGAACCAGGTTTCTGTCCATAGTGGTCTCCAAGTTAACCCAGTACCCCATCACAACCATCCGAGTCTGCTCGAGGCTACTGGGACACATGGCGGCATGTACGTATGTGGTATGCCATGCTCCAATGAGGCTCAGGCCTCTACAAGCCTGGTTGGCAAGGGCATTCAACCAGTCCAGGGGTCTCCGGGACATGGTTCTCACAGTGCCTCCGGTGGTGATAGCCTCCTTACAATGGTGAACCCAGGAGGCGGTGGTGTGCAGCGGGGTTCCGTTCACTGCACCTCCTCTGTCGCTTACACTGGTCATAGATGCTTCCGACTTAGGTTGGGGAGCACATCTGGGGTGTCACAGAACCCAGGGTTTGTGGTCCCCTGTAGAGTGGGCTCTGCACATAAATGGCCGGGAGCTCAGGGTAGTCAGGAGAGCCTGCGAGACCTTCCTGTCGAAGCTGTCTCGCCGCTCTGTCCTGGTCCGCCTGGACAACACGGCAGCTGTGTTTTTCCTCTACAGACAGGGGAGAGCCCGGTCGCCTCTCCTCTGCCACGAGGCTCTATGCCTCTGGGACCTGTGCGTAGCGCACAACATAGTTTTGCAGGCAGAGTACCTGCCGGGGTGCAAAAACTTGCTGGCCGATGCTCTGAGCAGGTCCTTTGGAGCCCACGAATGGTCTCTCAAGGATTTGGCTCTTCGTCAGGTCTTCCTCAGGTGGGGTTGTCCCCTAGTAGACCTGTTTGCCTTGGCAGGCAACACCAAGTGCTAGAGTTACTGCTCCCTGTTGGGGCTGGGGGAACACTCCAGGGGGGATGCTATAACCGTGCCGTGGCTGGCGGGCATCCTCTATGCTTTCCCTCCGTTTCCCCTAATTCCCAGGGTTCTGACCAGGGTCAAGACCTTCAGGTCCATGGTCATCCTGATAGCCCCTTGGTGGCCCAGGCAGTTCTGGTTCCCTATCCTGGTGGATATGCTCATCGAGGATCCTATAACGCTCCCACCGGTTTGGGATCTCCTGACCCAGCCTTGGGACGGGGGCCTCATGGTTCACCCGAATCTCAGCTCTCTCCATCTAACAGCCACGTTTATCCGTGGCTGACCCAGCCAGAAACAGACTATTCCCAGGAGGTTCAGATGGTGCTCCTAAACAGCCACGTTTATCCGTGGCTGACCCAGCCAGAAACAGACTATTCCCAGGAGGTTCAGATGGTGCTCCTAAGTAGTAGGAAACCATCTACCAGGCGGTTATACGCAGCCAAGTGGCGGCGGTTCTTGTCTTGGATGTCCGGAAGGGGAGTGCACCCATCTTGTCCATTCTGGACTACCTTTTTGAGCTTAGGTCTGGTGGCCTCTCTGCCTCCTCTATCAAAGTCCATGTGGCATCTCTCTCTGCCTTCCATGTTGGTTTGGCTGGAGTCTCTCTGTTTTCTGACCCTGTGGTCAAAAGGTTCATTAAGGGTTTGGATAAGTTGTACCCTTCGGTTAGACCCCCTTGGGACCTTAACCTCGTGTTGTCTAGACTTGTGTCGCCCCCCTTTGACCCACTGGCCACATCTCTTTGAAGCACCTCTCTTATGAAGGTTGCGTTCATTGTGGCCATTACATCAGCTCGCAGGGTCTCCGAGCTGAGGGCATTAACTGTAAACCCACCCTACCTAGTGTTTTCTGACAATGTGAGGCTCCGCCCTCATCCGGCCTTTCTCCCAAGGTGGTGTCACCATTCCATTTGTCCCAAGAAATGTACCTCCCGGTTTTCTTTCCACAGCCCCATGCCTCCCCTAATGAGCAAGTGCTCCATTCCCTGGATGCTAGACATGCGCTAGCTTTTTATATTGATAGGACTAAACCCTTTCGCAAGTCCACACAATTGTTTATTCATTCTGTCAGCGACAGCAAGAAAGGGCTCCCCATATCGACCCAGAGGTTGTCCAATTGGGTCTCAGAGTGTATCAGAGAGTGTTATGCCCTGGCCGGGAAGGTCCTGCCCCAGGTTACAGCATATGCCACCAGGGCACAGGTGTCCTGTGTAGCTTTTGGGGTGCAGGTTCCAATCACTGAAATCTGCAGGGCGGCCACATGATCGTCGATCCATACCTTTACATAACTCCCACATTATGCGCTGGCACAGCAAGCCAAGGAGGACGCAGGACTGGGCTCTGCAGTCCTCAGTTCTGTATTGTAAATATGTTTGTTTTTTTCTGTACCACATTGCACTTTTCTACAGTTTTTTCTGTTTGCTTAGTTAAATAAATTTGTTTGGATTGTTCAACTTTCGTGGACTTCTCTTTCTGAGTGCTCCGACCCCTCCTCCTTGAAGTGGGGCTGGCTTGGAAGTCATCTAATTTGAATGGACATGAGCAACCACTCGAAGAAGAAAAGAACAGTTACTTACCTGTAACTGTTGTTCTTCGAGATGTGTTGCTCATGTCCATTCGACTCCCACCCTACCTCCCCT